GTGTTTGCATAATGTTTGAGAAAATAGCTGTTTCTCCTTATTTTACTGCCTAAGTAGACAGTGATTTTGAGAAAAATAGTTGTTTCTCCTTACTTTCCTGGATCTGACAGTGGTTTTGTGTGTGTGCATAACCCCCATGTTTGAGAAAATAGCTGTTTCTCCTTATTTTCCTGGATCTGACAGTTCTTTAGTGTGTTTGCATAATGTTTGAGAAAATAGTTGTTTCTCCTTATTTTCCTGCCTAAGTACAGTGATTTTGTGTGTTGCATGACAGTGATTTTGAGAAAAATAGCTGTTTCTCCTTACTTTCCTGGATCTGACAGTGGTTTTGTGTGTTTGCTTAACCCCCATGTTTGAGAAAAATAGTTGTTTCTCCTTACTTTCCTGGATCTGACAGTGGTTTTGTGTGTTGCATGACAGTGAATTTGAGAAAAATAGCTGTTTCTCCTTATTTTCCTGGATCTGACAGTGATTTTGTGTGTTTGCATAGACCCCCTGTTTGAGAAATAGCTGTTTAACCTTATTTTACTGCCTAAGTACAGTGATTTTGTTTGTTGCATAGACCCCCTGTTTGAGAAATAGCTGATTCACCTTATTTTCCTGGATCTGACAGTGATTTTTATCTGGTGTTGCTCTCCATCGTCGCTTCAGCTTCAGTGACGAAAAAATGAGGACAAAAGCTATAGCACGTAATTTTTTTCTTCCATCCAATTCATTTTTTTTTTATATACACTACATATCTGTTTTCTTTTCAATTCCGTTATTTATTGTTATACTTTGTTCCTCCCCTCAGATCGTCCAGAAACACCAAAACCTAAAAAGAGGGATTCAGATGAACATTTACTGCCAACACAGGCAAGAATACGACAAATTCGACATCAAAATCCATCGAACCCTCAATACAGATCAAGTTTCACTAGACTTTTTCACTTTAGTGATCAAGTTCGTCTTACCGAAGATCATCTAACCTCCTTAAGGCAAACACCATTTGGTGAATTTTACATACCAATCCTTTGTCAAAGAATCACCCCCTGTACAGTTAAAAAGTCAGATCACCTAATACGCAGGATTTTATCGACATATGACCCAGATAAACAAGCTTTTATTATTGGGAAAAAAAAGGTTGACCATCAAAACCACAGAATGTCAACTTATTTTTGGCTTGACGAATGGCCAAACAAAACTGGCAATTGCCGATGGTAAAAGAAGTAACAGGCCAGAAACAGAGTTTTATAGAAGAAATTTTGGTCATCTAAATAAAGTCACTTCCAAAGACTTGAAAGCAGCATTGGTAAGGTTGCAAGGTTCAAATACTGAAGAAGCACATGAAGATGTTACAAGTATAATAGTCCTCAGCCTCATGACGAACTTCTTCTTCACTACAAGTCAATCTGTTAATTGGTCGTACTTCCAGTACGTGGATGATCTGCAGAGGATCAATGACTTCAATTGGGCAGAAGAGGTGGTCAAGTTCTTCATGAACTCTGTACACAAAATAACTGCAAAAGCAAAGTCTGAGAATCAACCTATAAAAAATGTTGTGGACTCCGTACATGGATGTGTTACCCTGTTACTGGTACGCAAATAACAAATCTAAATTTTTTTTGATATTTTTCTTCTTATACTCATTTTTTTTTTTTATTGTTTTTAGTTCTGGTTCCTTGAACGTTGTTCCTTGATTCTGCCGGAACAAAAGAGAAAGTTTCCAAGATACAGAAAATGGAACTTGCATGAAGTCTGCCGACAAGCCCATGTACTCTCGATGAGGCACATAGAACCAGATCAGGTCAAAAAATATTCAATGAGCAAAATTATTTATAACTTTTCTGCCATGGACAGTAATATTGCAATTATGCTGTCATAACCATTAACATAGTGAAGTACTATATTCTAATTCACTGTCAATGACAGTATTTATTGTCCTTCATATTGAAATTACTATAACACTGTCTGTTTGCAGATGTTGGCTAAGCCGTTGGCTGCAAAAAGATACGAAACTCAATTACTAGGACAATTTCAAAATGAAGAGGAAGATATGGATGACAATGAAGCTACCAAAGAGCAGGAAGAACAAACGGTTCAAAGGAGCGTACTAATTAAAGCAAGATCGAAGGGCAAAAGGAAGTTAGTGGATGAGCCGGAGGGTGGTTCTTCTGACTCTGATGAAGCAGAAGACTTGGGGGTGTATATGTCAGGTAATGAGTTTGATCAACACAAACATAGTGACGCATGTAATGAGTTTGATGCTGTTGGCAGTTCAAAAACACAAGTGACCAATCTGAACAGCAAAATTGAGGGGCTTGAATCTGAGAACAAGATATTGAGAGAACAAGTATCAGAGCAGCAAAGTTCCATTGAGAAACTTCAAGGTGAAAATGTTACTCTCATTGGTCAAATAACCGCTCTCAAAGTTGACGTTGATGAAAGATTGTCGAAAGAGGAAGAAGCAGCTTTGAGAAACAAGATTAAAAATCTCGAAGAGACGAACAAAATACAAGAACAAGATCTGGCGAGGTTAATTGATATACCAACTAACAGCCAGATTGAGGCATCCTCAAGTGCAAGATTGGAGAGACAAGTACAAGAACTGAAAACAAAACTCACTTCTGCAATTGAGAAAAACACGTTGAATGACCATGAGATAGCCACTCTTCGTTCACAAAACGACGTCCTAACCAAAGAGCGAGATGCATTTGTTTGTCAACCTGCATAACCAAATGATGATGTCAACAAATCTCAAACCAACTCGGATACATCATTTAGCAGCATCCAAGAATTACACTGCCAAGTTGTTGAATTGAAGCAGGAAAATGAAAAGTTGTGTGACGAAAATAAGCAGTTGAAGACGAAAATTGAGGATATGGAGCATAATCTGCAAACTTTGATTGATTCGACCCTAAAAGAAGAGCAGAAGCCGAATGATGTTGATACAGACTTTGAAGATCCACAAGAAACAATGCGGGACATAGAAACAAAAAAAACAAGTGGTGTTCACAAAAGGACGCGCTCAAAACTGAATCAAACTGAAAAGAATAATCGTAAATCAGCTGTTGCCGGCAGGACACGGGGAAAACGTAAAGAGCCTGCACTCAACAACAACCAACCAGAACCGGTCAAGAAAAAAAGACGAAAGGACTTTTCGTACCAAAAAAAGGATATCTTCGACCTGCTATCTAATGAGGACAAAATTATTGTAGAGAATATGACTATAGATATAGCAGAGGAGGATCATAGGTATGTATGAGAATATAATCATTTTTTTATTCATCTTTAAATAAATCTAACGCATTAGCTCTTTATGTAGGGGTCTGATCTCAATTTGGTACAACAAAGACGGAACTGTGTATGAGTTTGTTGAGAGTTTGTTGAGATGGCTGACATAATGACATTGTTGAAGGAGGGATCAACCAGTACACAAGTGAGCACTCACTAACAAAAAAACAAAAATAGACACTTTACCTAAAAGAACTGCCAAGACCAGTAACATACACAAATGATTTTCTACACTAACTCTATTTTTCTTGTTACATATAGGTACTTGGTTCATACTCCTCCATTCTGCAAATGCGACAAGAGGAAGGATATTTTAATGATAATATCAATCATGGTTTGGATGGGGACAGTTATGTCTTTTCAAGTTCACTTATGGTATGTGACTGATGTCAACAACAATTATTAAAATTTATATATTATTCTATTTATATATATATATGTATATATATATATATATATAATGGTGTGTTAACATACAGGCCGTTCTTCAGCAACCCAATGGTGAAGAATCTTTCAATAAAATTTTGAGCCAACTCATTCGGAAAATACATATTCAGCAGTATCGATTCCTCTTGTTTCCACTTCATTCCAAAGCCAACAAACGCAAGAATAATGATCATTGGACTTTGGTTGTCCTGGATATAAAGCTCAACACGTGGAAACATTACAACTCCTACAAGCCAAGGGCAGTGGAAAACCAGAAACGCACAGATCCATATCTGTGTATCGCGGAAAAAATGGTAAGTAAAACTGAATAAACAAAATAAAGGAAACTCCATATTGTAAAACTGAATAAACAAAATTGCAGGTAAAAGCTGTTGAAGCAGTCACCAGAGAATGTAAAATCAAGAAAATTCCGCTAGATGCAACACTTGAAGAAGTTGAAGATTCACCTCAGCAAGAGTACGGCAGTGAGGATTGCGGGATTTTTGTACTATATATCATCAGACAGTATTTCCGTCAACAACCAGTGGACAAGTTGGATGCAGAAAAAAATGTTAAGAATTTCAGAAAGGAACTAGTTCACTTATTCCTGAACCACAAAAACACTGTTAATCATAGGGTTAGGCGGACAAAACCAGTGTGATAGGCTTAATGTAATGCAAGTTTAAATGACCTTTTAAGTATTTTCAGTATAAAACTCTATGGTTGTAGGTTTAAATGTACTGTTAAGTATTTGTGGTATGATACTCTATGGTCGTGGTCTTAATGTACTGTTAAGTATTTGTAGTATGTTACACTACGTACTTTATGTTCAAGAGTGCAACAAATATACTGCTGCCATGTAGCAATATTCTAAATTTGAAAATGTAGCATTGTTCATGCATAATGTACCTGTTGTAGACAGTTATACAGAACCATTCAAAAAGAAAATTACATGAGTTACACAAAAGTAACTGTCACTTACAGTAACGTATAACTACTGAAGAATATTACTGAAACAAAATATAACTGTCACTTGCAGTAACATAGACCTATTGAAGCAAAATTACTGAAAACAGTACAATTCTCAGTCACAGTAACATATAAGTACTGAAGAAATTTACTGAAACAATATAGCTGTCACTGAAAGTAACATAGAATTACTGAAGAAAATTACTAAAACAATATAACTGTCGCTGATAGTAACATAGAATCACTGAACAAAAAAACTGTAAGCATTCATATATGCAATCCCAAAACTGTCAAAAAAAAAAAAAAAAAAGCACACAAATAATAGTAGATCTTCAAATAGCTTTGTTGCAAGTCTTCTTGTTGTGATGACCAATCTCTTTGCATCTTCCACACTTGATCTTCTTCTTGATATTTTCACCACGAGATGGAATCCTATTCTTTTTTGGTCTTCCACGTCTTGTCTGGCAAACTGGAGGTCCAACAGGTGGCTGCTCAACTTTTGTAAAGTCCACCATAAATGGGTAAATAGAAAAAGAATACGTAGATCGAAAATTGCAGGCATAAAACAAGGGGTCAATGTACCCATATCTTTCACCAACGGGGATATTCTTGAGAACCACAGCCACATGACAACAAGGGAATCCTTTAAGCTGCCAATTCCGACATGTGCACGTTCTAGCAAACAAATCCACAATCTCATGAGAGTCTGAATGCACTTCAAAGACAAATTGATTTGATTTTCTAATAGTCCATGTCCTCCCATCTTCGACAAAACTGCTTAAAATCTTTTCCATCTTTGGACAAAGCATCGTAGTCCAACCACTCGCTTTTGCAGACCTCTCGCAAATTTTATCCATCATATAACCCTTAATGTTGTCAATCATATGGGTAATCGGCAAATGTCGGAATTTCTTTATTGTACCATTCCATGATTCCACAGCATTTGAATACATCTCACCATACCTATGCCCCTCAAAATACGCATTTGCCCAATTTTTAAAAGGCAAATCTGACAAAAAATCAACAACTTTCCATGAACCATCAATTTTGAATTTCTGAAGTTTCTCATGAAAGATTTCCTTAGTCGGAGCATACGCGCATGCTATCAACTGACTAACTAGAACATCTCTATAACTAGAGCTCATTCCACTCAACTTATACCTCAAATTATTCTCTAAATGCAACAAGCAGAATGCATGGTAACAATTAGGGAAAATATTTTTAACAGCTTCCAAGATACCGTGCTGCCGATCGGATACGAATGTCAAAACACGATCTGAGCTAATGCAACATTTTAAATGTTCCATGAAATAATTCCAGTTTGAATCATTTTCCTCACGCACAACGGCAAATGCCACTGGATAAAGACCTGCAACACCAAAAAATCAATGTAAAAAAAAACTTGTCATTTCATGAACTCTTGGTCTATAAACCTTATTTTACTGCCACATACAGTAAAACTTATTTTACTGTCTGTGACAGTAATATAACCTTAATACACTATCTATGACATTAACAGATATCTGGGACTGAAATAAAGAATGTAATACAACAAAATTACCATTTCTTGCATCTTTCGCCATGGCGCTCAAAAGAATACCTTTGTATCTACCCTTCAGAAATGTTCCATCCAAAAAAAGAATCGGACAGCAAAACTTAAATCCGGACAGACAAGCACCAAAACTGAAGAAACAACGATCAAACGAGGTATGCTTCTCATCAACTTCCAGGTGAAACACACTGTCTGGATTGCAACGCCCAGCTTCTTCAAAATACACTTTCAGGTACGAATAAGATATTCCATCGTCTCCAAACACAAAACTCCGACTAGATTCCATAGCTCTCCATGTTGTATTGTAGTCAATATCAATCCCATAATTCTTTTTGGCGTCATGAATAACGTCATTAGCACACAACAACGGCTTATTCCGAATGTCCTCCACGATTAAATCAGCTACGAGCTTAACGCACATTTTAACCTTCTTGACAGCACTAAATGCCGACTCACACGTGTGATGTTTCTCATATGTGCGAATAATACAATATTCGGTTGAAGGTTGAATTGTAGCATGAATTCTCCACAAACAATTTTTCTCCTGTCTAAGCTTACAAACTGCAGTCACTCTCTTCGTATCGTTTTTGATAAAATCGAATCCAAACCCAAGCTCATACGCAAACTTAGCCAAACATATTCTAAATTCTGAACGTCCCCCACGGAAAACTTGTCCAACATCAGTTATCAGATTTATCCAATGTGAGCTAAGCAAAGTCTTTCTGGGGGCAATGGAACGTAATGTGTTGCATGGGGGATTAACTGCTTCTTCAATTGCAGCAACAGGTAAGACACTCGACGAACATACCATAGAGCTGTAACTAGTATCAGACGTACCAAGAGATGCATGAACTTGCTTCACAACAATTTCAATCCTCTGAATCGACCATTGTTCCACAATAATAAATAACCCTTTTACATCTTCATCATCGTTAATTGAAAAAACACCAATCTCAGGAACAGAGTACGATAATGACAGGTTATGAACACTTAAAGAATTCCATCTTGAACAAACAAAATGCACAAGATAGGAAAAACTCATCCCTCTTGTAAAATCTGTGATCGAACAAAATTCACCATATCTAAACAACAACACAATAGAACTAGTCATCCTGCAATTGCATATAAAACATAATTATACTGTTAATAACAGTCACATTACTAATACATCAAGTAAATATTTGTGTGCATTCAATTATACTGCCAATGACAGTATCATTATATAAACACTTGCAAACAAACATAGGAAAACATAAAAACACTGCTGACAACAGTCATATTACTAATACATCAAGTAAATTCGACATGTACATTCAATTATACTGCCAATGGAAGTCAAAATACATTAACAACCAGCGAAATAAACATATACATGCAATTATACTGCCAATCGCAACAACATTATATATAAAAAAAAAATAGCGTAAAAACAAAAATACACAACAAACAAAAAACCACAATTCTGTAAACAGTAATTGAACGCCCATACATCATGGTGTTCAAATTACTACAATTCAATCTATACATATAGCGATGTTGAAATTTGTAACTTAAAAAAACATTCGCATGCAGATAAAAAAAATTGACACACCTTCGTTGAAAATAATATGATCGGCGGTAAAAGCTAGACACGACGGTCGGCGAGAAACGACGGCCGGCGAAAAACGACGGCCCGCGACAAACAGGTAGATGCAGCTCAGTTTCAAGATATAGAGTTGCAGAGAGGGATTCGGGGGAGAATAGAGAAGAATCACGCAGAATTCATAAAAAACGAGCTTAGGGCTTTCACATTAAATACAGGGGCAATTATGTCCGAAAAAGACCCTTTCCTTGATTTTAAATAAACTTTTAAGTATTGGGTTTATTTGCAAGACAAAAAAACTGAATGTCCCTTTTTTAATTAAGTCCATGTGTCATGGGCCTATTTGCCATTACCCCTATTAATATTAAATGATATATTTCACTAACTACTTAAACTTTTGGTTGAGATGGTCATTCAACATGGTATCAGAGCCAGGCCAAATGAAAGGTCCTGAGTTGGAATCCCACAACCACCCATTTAAAAATATTTCAAGTGCATGCTTCAACTGCGGCTGCGCGTCGGACTTGTGCTGCAGCCAGTTTGGCTTTTGCAGCACCGGAAATGACTACTGCGGCAGAGGCATGCTCTGCCGGACCTGCCAGCAACGGCAGCTCCGTCGGTAATATTGTGACTGACGTGCGCGTTCTTTAACGGGATCTCCGATCAGGCTGCCGGGAGCTGCATCGGGAAGGGGTTCTACATGCGCTCTGCGTTTCTTGAGGCGGTCAACTCGTACACGCAGTTCGGCACGGTGGGTTCCGTTGACGACTCGAAGCGGGAGATTGCAGCCTTCTTTGCACACGTGACGCACGAAACTGGACGTAAGTTTCTCAAGTAGGTTGGCTCTATATTGCTGTTAAGTTTTCAAAATAACAATTCATGAATCATTAAATTCAAAAGGAAAAATATTTTATTTTAATGAATTGACGATCATGCTATAAGTTCTAGGGCCATCTTTCTCAAATTGACCATTACGTGAAGGTTGATTTTGGCTAGAAGTTGTGTGCCCAGTAGGTTAGTATTAGACACGGCCATGGGCCGGTTTCGGGCCAATCACGCCGGTTCGCGGTTCACTTTTTCTGGAATCGGAACCGGCCCGTACTACATGCGGTTTGGCGGGTCGGGCCGGCTCGGAAAATTATATATATATATATATATATATATATATATATATATATATATATATATATATATATAAATATTTTTTGTTTTTTTGAAAAATAGTTTATGGATAAATAAATTGTGACAACACAATTACGGTAAACGTTTAGCGACGGACGTAAAAAAAATAAATAAAAAATAAATAAATAAACTTTAAAAACACTAGAAAAAGTCAACGCCGGAATCCGGCGGCGGAAAAAAAAAAGAGACCAGAAAAAAGAAAAAAAATATCGAAAAGTCAACGTCGAAATCCGGCGGCAAAAAAAAAGTTTGAAAAAAAAAGTCAAAATTGGATTTTTGTAGACAAAACTAATTAAATTGGGGTTACAGTTAAGAATTGGGTATAAATGATTGGGTGTAATATTGTCATATACATCAATGTTTCCTTTATTTATAATAAATATTAAAGGGATGAGCTTATTGTTGAAAGAGATATAGCCCCTAAATCTAGAATAATAAACATGTTTGGTTAGGGACTTATGCACAAAAACCCCTAAATAAATCAACGAATAAAAATTAAGTGCGAATGACAAATAGGCCCATGAAAAAGGGACTTAAATCTGTGTTAACAATAAAATTATTGTCTAATGTTGAATACCAAAACAATAATATTACTAATAGTACTGTCCCAAATAGTAATATTATTGTCCGAAATAGCAATGTTGAATACCAAACAGTAATATTACTATCCCGAATAGTAATATTATGAATACTAGTATTCCACCCGTGCGTTGCACGGATGTCAGATTCAAAATGAGAAAAATAAATTTATGTAAACGACTATCTCTTTATAACAATACCAATTCAAGTAAAACAAAATGGAAGAAAATAAAAAAACATAAACTTTATCTGTTAATTTAGAGTTGTTACATATGAAATTAAGTTAAATATTACAAATAAGAAAACACGAAGCACGCAAAACACGATATCAAGATTAAGTCAAATCATTTAAAACATATGGTATAACACTATTTCTTGGATTGCAATCTACTACACCTTGTGAATCTTCTGCAAAATAACTAAGGTAACAATAAACACGGTAGCAGAAAAGTAACATAATAGATATTTAAATAACCTGCAAGTTTATCACTAATAGCATTCAATTAGTGATGCACATTATTCAAACAACAATAAAACTTATAAATATTACAAAAAAAGATATGATGTATAGGCCACTACCAGTACCGATACCAATGTTGATACCAATACCAATACGAATACTGTTACCAATAGTGATACTAATTCGATTAGTACTAATACAAATATTAATACTAATAATAATAATACTAACACTAATACTAATACTAATATTAATACTAATAGTGATACTAATACTAATATTGGTACTAATACAGATACTAATACTAATATTAATACTAACTAATACTAATACCGATACTAATACTGATAATAATACAAATTAATATTGATACTAATAATAATACATAAACTAATACTAATACTCATATTCGTACCAATAATACTAATACTAATAATAAAACTAATACTAATACTAATATTCATATTGATACTAATATTAATACTAATAATAAGACTAATATTGATATTAATACTAATAATAATATTGACTTACATTGATGATTATAGTGATATAGATACTAATACTAATACTAATACTAATACTAATATTAATACTGATATTAATACTAATATTGGTACTAATACTGATACTAATACTAATACTAATACCGATACTAATACTAATATTAATTCTCATACTGATACTAATAATAATGCTGATACTAATACTAACTCACATACTCATACTCATACCAATACTAATACTAATACTACTAATAATATTAATACTAATACTAATATTCATATTGATATTAATACTAATTAATACTAAGAATAATACTAATATTGATACTACTACAGATAATAATACTTATACTTATATTGATAATGATAGTTATATTGATACTAATACTAATACTAAGAATAAGACTAATACTGATACTAATACTAATAATAATAATAGTGATATTGATACGAATATTAATACTATTAGTAATACTAATATTAATACTAAGACTAATACTGATACTAATAACAATAATAATTCTGATACTGATACTAATACTTATACTCATATTGATACTTATAGTAATATTATATTAATACTAATATTAATACAGAGACTGATATTGACACTAATACAGATACTCATAGCAATAGTAATATTAATACTACTACTAATACTAATACTAATACTGATATTGATATTGATATTGACATTGATACTAATACCGATACTCATACTGATACTCATAGTAATACTAAAACTAATATTGATACTCATACTCATACTGATATTCACAATCATATTGATACTAATATTGATATTGATACTAATACTAATACTGATACTGATAGTGATACTATTATCGATACTGATACTGATATTGATATTGATACTGATATTGATACTCATATTGATACTGATATTGATAGAAATGTTGATGCTGATACAAATACTAATACTGATAATGATACGGATACGAATACTGATACTGAAACTGATATTGATACTGATAGTGATACTGATAATGATACTAATATTGATACTGATAATGATACTGATATTGATATTGATACCGATACCGATACCGATACCGATACCGATACCGATACCGATACCGATACCGATACCGATACTGATGCTGATACTAATGCCGATACCGATACTGATTTTGATACTGATACTAATATGTAGACTAATATTAATATTAATATTAATACTAATATCAATACTAATACCAAAACTAATATTAACACTAATATTAATGCTAATATTAATACCAATACTATTACTAATACTATTATTAAAACTAATACTAATACTAATACTAATACTAATACTAATACTAATACTAATACTAATACTAATACTAATACTAATATTAATACTAATATTAATACTAATATTAATACTATTTCTAATACTAATATGTTAATATTGTTAATGTTAATACTAATGTACATATTCTAATGCTAATACTAATTTTAATGTTAATTTTAATCTGGATATGCTTATGCTGATTATAATTGTAATACTAATATTATCAAAATCCTTACCTTATTCCTAATCCTATTCATAACACTAATCGTGATTCTAATCCTAATCATAATTCTAATCCTAAACCTATTTCTAACATTAATTATAATCCTAATAATTTTACTACTAATAATACTAATGCTAATGCTAATGTTAATTCTAATCAATGTTTTGAAAACCGGACCAGATCGGCCGGTCCGGCCGGTTTGACCGCGAACCGTCGCCATGTCCGGTCCGGTTAGCAGTGAAAACCCAAAATCGCCAAAAAACCGGGTCAACTACCAAAATCCGGGTTCGACCGGTATGAACCGGAAAACCCGAAAACCGGTCCAATAACCGGGTTTTAGCTATAAAAAAATTTTCATGGCCGGATCTGCGTTGATGATAAATTTCATGGCTGGATATGCGTTGATGATGGTTGTGGGTGACTGGACCTTACCGGAATCGGCTGTGGATGAACGGATCTAATCGGATTTGGGGCATATGTGACGGGAGAAAGGAAAGGAGGAGGTGAAAATGAAAATAAAGAAAAATATGGAGAAAAAAAAAAAGTGGATAAAAATCCCAGTATGTGTGGAAAATGAGAGAATAAAGAACAAATAGATAGAGAAAAAGGAAGGGAAGAAGAGGAGGGCATCAGTTTGGACATGGGTGGGAGACCTGCGTGAAGAGGAAAAAGCAGATGGAAGAAAGAAGAGAGAGGAGAGGAGAGAGAGAAGTGAGAGAAAAATGTAATTTTAAATTATTTTTTTTATAAAAAAAGTGAGTAAGTGGGAAGGAAATATAAAAAATATATAAATAATATTATACTTATGGTATTTAATTAATAAAATAATCATATAAAAGAAAAAAATTTAAAAATCCGGTTGGACCCCAGTTGAACCGGTTCAACCGTGATCCAGTAACTTAGCCGGGTCGATGTCCGATCCGGTTTTCAAAACATTGATTCTAATTATAGTTCTAATTTTAATTCGAACCATAATCCTAATCATAATCATAATACTAATACATGTCACTAATTGTAGTACTAATCAATAACCATAATCTTAATTATAATTCAAATATTAATATTAATCATAATCTTAATCCTAATATTACTTATAATACTATTTTAATCCGAATTCTAATCCTAGTATTAATACCTAATTCCAAGAATATTAATTATAATCATAATTCTAATGTTAATACTAATCACAATCATAATTTTGATTTTGCATCAATGTTTTGCAATTATCTATTATTTTGTATCAAAAATAATTCTATTCAATTTCGCAACTTTTATATCAAATTCCTCATGTCTGATACCTGAAACATCAAGAAACACATATTAAATATATTATAAATTAATATTTAATTATATTATCACACTGACACTAAAATTATTAAAAATAATATAAGGGTATAAACAAACGTTAAGACGTAAAAAGAACGATAATCGTTGTTAATAGGATAAATTACGAAAATTCTCATGAAACTTAGGCTAAATTACGGAAAGCACCCCCACTTATCGGTAATTACCAAAATCCCCAAGATGTTTGTTTATGTCTTACACGACCCCCTTATGGTGTGATTTTTTACGGAATCTTTCTCATTCAATGTAATATCCCAAAAATTGTGGATTCTACCCTTGCAGACGTGAAAATTCTTTTATCTTACTTTTTAAATACAAAACTTACCCTTAGGGGAGTTAATAATAATACTAAAAAGTTGTGAAAATGTTATTTAAGAAGAATAAATATTTCGTGTACAGTCCCCCTCAGGGTAATTTTTGTCTTTAAAAAGTACCATAAAC